TGTGTGTGAGAGAGAGAGAGAGAGAGACAAGAGAGAGAGAGAATCTGGAGAGTTGTCATTTTTTTAAAACAAATCCCAATTTTCAAAAGAAACTATCGTAAATTAAGTACTTGCGCATTTTAAATTCTTAGAATAAGATTGATAGAATAAGTTTAAAAACAAGTTGAACGCTCTTCAACACTTTTCAAGAATCCTAGTTTGTGTCCCGCTCTGCAACTTTACTGAAGAATAATGACATTTGGGAGGGAAGGAAAACCTAGACTTACTGCCCAGCTCTTAGAAAAGTACCTAAGAGTCATGATATTTTTAAATTCTGGTGAAGACAAATGTCACCTGCAGGATCCCCCATTTCATCACAGAAAGCCTTCCAACTTTTACTGGGGAGATTTGTTTTGAAAGTTTCATATAAAGACAGCTAATTACTGCTAAAACTCCTCTAGAGACATCCCACTTTCTGAATCATTTCATTTCTACAGTTTATGTGTTAAAAGGTTTGCTCTCAAAGGTTGGTTTCAAATGTTAATGAGGCCAGGGAATCTGCAAAATTGTTATTTTGCAACTCTGGAACTAAGTAGGACTCTTGGAATTTTCTTTTTTGGTAGTAGTCGTGTTGAACTCAGGGCCGTGCACTTCCTAAGCAGGTTCTCTACCACTTGAGCCACACCTCCGTCCCTTTTAGCTCTGGTTACTTTTGAGGTAGGGTTTCATGATTTTATTCAGGCATGCCTGGACCATGATCCCCTGATATCCTTCTCCCAAGTAGCTAGGATTGCAGGAGTGAGGCACCATGCCCAGACCTCACACTGTGCCTACTCTTGATGACAAACACGAGTCTTCAGACTGCTGCAGAAGACAGGGGCTGCCCCCCTATGAAAATTGTCTAACTTAAAGCAGAGACATTGTGATACAGTTTTTGAAATTGTAAGCTTTCTTTCTCTTAATTATGTTTATTGAGGAGCACTTCCAAAGGTATAATAATAACTTTAAAGTTTTTGTTTACTTTCCTAGAGGTAGCATATACTCAAAGCACATGATGACCTTAAAGTCTGGGAGACAATTATTGTTCTTTTAATCTATAGAATGTGTTGTTATGAGTAGTAGAATATGTTTCTTAATTATAAAGGAACACATGAGTTTGTTTTAAAAGAACTCAACTACCACATAAAATCTTTAGGTTCTTTTTTGTTTTGGTTTGGTTTTTTTTTGATTTATCAGGGATTTTATTTTTTATTTTTTTTTTATTATTCTTATGTGCATACAATGCTTGGGTCACTTCTCCCCCCTGCCCCCACTCCCTCCCTTACCACCCACATCACCCCCTCTCACTCCCCCACACCTCCTCAATACCTGGCAGAAACTATTTTGCCCTTATCTCTAATTTTGTTGAAGAGAGAGTATAAGCAATAATAGGAAGGAACAAGGGTTTTTGCTTGTTGAGATAAGGATAGCTATACAGGAAGTTGACTTGCATTGATTTCCTGTGCATGTGTGTTACCTTCTAAGTTAATTCTTCTTGAACTAAACTTTTCTCTAGTTCCTGGTCCCCTCCTCCTATTGGCCTCAGTTGCTTATAATGTATCTGCTTCAGTTTCTCTGCGTTGAGGGCAACAAATGCTAGCTAATTTTTTAGGTGTCTTACCCATCCTCATATCTCTCTTGTGGGCTCTCACTTTTATCTTGTGATCAAAGTCCAATCCCCTTGTTGTGTTTGCCCTTGATCTAATGTCCGCATATGAGGGAGAACATACGATTTTTGGTCTTTTGGGCCAGGCTAACCTCACTCAGAATGATGTTCTCCAACTCCATCCATTTACCAGCAATGATAACATTTCATTTTTCTTAATGGCTGCATAAAATTCCATTGTGTATAGATACCACATTTTCTTGATCCATTCGTCAGTAGTGGGGCATCTTGGCTGTTTCCATAACTTGGCTATTGTGAATAGTGCTGCAGTAAACATGGATGTGCAGGTGCCTCTGGAGTAGCCTGTGTCACAGTCTTTTGGGTATATCCCCAAGAGTGGTATTGCTGGATCAAATGGTAGATCAATATTTAGCTTTTTAAATAGCCTCCAAATTTTTTTCCAGAGTGATTGTACTAGTTTACATTCCCACCAGCAGTGTAAGAGGGTTCCTTTTTCCTCACATCCTCGCCAACACCTGTTGGTGGTGGTGTTGCTGATGATGGCTATTCTAACAGGGGTGAGGTGGAATCTTAGTGTGGTTTTAATTTGCATTTCCTTTATTGCTAGAGATGGTGAGCATTTTTTCATGTGTTTTTTGGCCATTTGAATTTCTTCTATTGAGAAAGTTCTGTTTAGTTCACTTGCCCATTTCTTTATTGGTTCATTAGTTCTAGGAGAGTTTAGATTTTTAAGTTCCCTATATATTCTGGTTATCAGTCCTTTGTCTGATGGGTAGCTGGCAAATATTTTCTCCCACTTGTGGGTGTTCTCTTCAGTTTAGAGACCATTTCTTTTGTTGAGCAGAAGCTTTTTAGTTTTATGAGGTCCCATTTATCTATGCTATCTCTTAGTTGCCGTGCTGCTGGGATTCCACTGAGAAAGTTCTTACCTATACCTACTAAGTCCAGAGTTTTTCCTACTCTTTCCTGTATCAACTTTAGAGTTTGTGGTCTGATATTAAGATCCTTGATCCATTTTGAGTTAATATTGGTATAGGGTGATATACATGGCTCTAGTTTCAGTTTTTTGCAGACTGCTAACCAGTTTTCCCAGCAGTTTTTGTTGAAGAGGCTGCTTTTTCTCCATCGTATATTTTTAGCGCTTTTGTCAAAGACAAGTTGGTTATAGTTGTTTCGCTTCATATCTGGGTCCTGTGTTCTGTTCCACTGGTCTTCATGTCTGTTTTTGTGCCAGTACCATGCTGTTTTTATTGTTATTGTATGTAATATAGTTTAAAGTCAGGTATCGTGGCACACTTTCTGCTTCCTCCCTCTAGCCGCCATCTTGGAATCCACTAGGTTCTTAAACTAATTAGAAAATTTCAGACCCTTGAGCCTTATTTTCTCATTGCAGACTGGAAGCAAAGGAGTGCCTTCACATTCCAGTACAAAGCACAGTGTGAGACCACCTTCCTTTCCTCAACAGAAGGAAAATTCTCACTTGACTGTGCTTAGGTGAAGTGCTTTCAAATACACATGTACAAACTTCACAGTGAGATCAGTAGGAACTGCAACACGTAAGCTTAAAACAAACATACCTTATTTAAAGACAGAGTGTCATGGCTTTAAAAAAATTATTTTCATTACTGTATATTAATGGCACAAAGCAAGCAGTTTCTCTGTGATATTTCCATAAACACATTCAATGTCGTTTGATCATAGTTTATTACTCTTTCTTATCCCCCTCCCCACCCGTCCTCATCTTTTCAGCTTTCTTATAATTTAAATGGGTTTCATCGCAGCCTTTTCATATATGCATGCACTGTACTTCAATCATATTTTTATAGGTTTAATCCGCGAATTCCCAGCAGTGTGGCCTTGGAGAAATTATTTCTCTCCTTTTTTCAAATTTCTTTTTTTTTTCTGTTAAATAAAATCTGTTAAACAGGAGTGTTAGGGACATTAGATATAATAATGTAAAAGAATTTAAAACTTTGTGTAGCACATAGTAAATTCACAATGGATGATAGTATAATTATTAAGAGATAAGGAAATTAATAAATGGCTAATGTTATTCAGTTTTTAATTTCTCAATCTTTGTATCTGTCTAATACAAATATGAGTGAATAAATGATACTTGTGTATATGTATACATGAGTAAATAACTAAAATATTTTCTCTGTAATCAGAAGTATCTGTCTAAAAATTACAGCAATGAAGAAGAGGTGGTGATTTGGAATGGTTGTGAGGAAGGGGACATGTGTCTATAATGAGATAGTTGGAGGGCAGTCTTCAAGGTGATGGGCTGTTTCCGTATCTGGATTGCAGTGGTGTTACACAAATCTCCACATGATAAAATGGTGTAGAACTGTACATTCACAGCATATTAATACTAATTTCATAGCATTTCTGTTTGTTTATTTTTGAGGCCAAGTGTTTCTATGTAGCTCAGACTGGCCTGAATTCACAATCCTCCTGCCTCAACTTCCCCAATGCTGGAATTGCAGATATGAGTACCAAACTCTGCTAACTTCGTAGTTTTGATACTGTTCTATAGTATTTAAAATATAGCCCTCAGGGAAAGCTGGGTGGAGGGTGTACCAGACCTCTCCATACTGTTTGTGCAACTCCATGTTAATCTGTAATCACTTTAAAATGAAAAGTTAAAAGCACAAAGATCTGCCTAGAACTTCCTCCTTTTACCATAATTACAGTAATCAGATCTGTCACTCTGGATTTCTGGTGATCCAACTTGAGTTCTGACATAAACTTTGATACTCGATTTTGAATATACTAATCCTTGTCTATCTCTTTTCACACTAATACCCTTTCCTAGGTCAATTCACTCCTTCACTACAGGAGTCCAGTGGTTAATGGATCTAAACGTGCCATGGACAAGGCTTCTAAAGAATACCTAGTTTGATCATTATTTATTCTAAAATATTCTCAATTGATTAACACTGGTAGAAGAATTAAACATGTGTCTAGCTATTTCATTCTACATCCTACTAATAGCGTGATCTGACTATACCATTAAAATCCTCCATGGATTGAATTAGAATCTGCTAACAATTTGAAAGTCTTGATATGATACTGCTAATCAGCTAACCAGCTGAAAAACAGGAAAACCAAATATCCTTAAGTCAGATGATTTGGTGGTTACACAACCATATTCTTAGATTATAGACTAGTGCCCAGGCAATTGATAAATATTTGTGGATGAATGAATGTATCAGTAAAAGAATAGTGGGACTGTTAAGGTAAATTGTGAAAAAGAGCAGTCCAAAAGAGTAAAGAATTAGTTCACCTTTATGAGGCAAGTCTTGATGAAGGAGTGTCTGCTAGGAAACCTTCTAACTCCTCTCTGCTTCTCTAGGCAGCTTGAAATTCACTCTCCTGATGCCAAGCATACAGTGGTCCTAAGGAGCAAGGACTCAGCCACTGCCCAGGCCTGGTTCAGTGCCATCCACTCCAACGTTAGTGACCTCCTGACTCGAGTGATTGCTGAGGTCAGAGAGCAGCTGGGAAAAACAGGCATTGCTGGGAGCCGAGAGATCAGGCATCTTGGCTGGCTTGCAGAGAAGGTAAGGAAGAGGATTCCCTCCATCATTTTCCCTTTGGCTCCGCCAGCACTGTACCACTGTCATCATGTCACTCCATAGACTGGTTCTCTCTTTCACAGTATACTTGAATGCTAGACCATTCCACCAGACTGGCATGCCTTTTGTATTACATAGAGGATTTTCCTTAATCAACATTCATTTCCCCAATATACAGTCAAATGTGGCAAATTGCATGTGGTCACTAATTATGGAATGGATGAAAGGATAAGTTGATGAAAAGTTTGATTTTCATGGTTATGAATGAAGGGCAGGGAGAATAACACAAACTCAGAGAAGAGCTGTTGCCTGGAAAGCAGGAAAATTGAAATTGTTGCATGAAAAGAGCTTGTGTGGGTTTTGATGAGCATCATTAATTACACAGAGCATTTAAGTTATGCATTTACAAATGACAGCAAGGATTTCTTGAGCAAATACTATGTGCTGATTTAGTCATATACAACCTTTTATTTGTGCTTTTAGGTCAGTAGATTCTAAATGGCATCAGTAATGAGCTATTTTATGTGAGGCAGTGTGAGGTAGGAGTGGGGAGGGTTGCATTTAAAACAAACAAAGACAGTCTCTGTCACAGGGAGGACAGCTGCTTTGGAAAAGACTGTGTATACTAATACTGTCACTCTGATTTCTTTTTTTGAGGTATGTGACATGTTGATGGTAGCAAAGCTTACTTTGTGACATTCTCTTGAGAGTTACCATTCTCTTCATTTCAAAGGATAGAGCCTTTGCCATTGTCCTTACACCCAATTGCTGTCCCTTGAACTTGGCCTTAAGTGCTCAGGAATGCTGGGCTTTGGGACAATTTGACCTCCCAGTGACTCACATTCTAATAGTCGGTAAATAGGAATAATGATTGTTGCAATAACAGCTTTCCTGCCAATGAAGCCTGTCATCTGAGAAGGCCCAGTCAAATGGCACTTGAAAGTAATACTTGAGCACAGCATTCAGCTGTTTTCCACCATTGTCCTTTGTCTGCACCAGCTCATGCATGGGTCTGGGCCACTAAGTTCAACACAAAGTGGGTTGTTTGGTTTGGATTGTCCCATCTCTCACAGATTTCAGAGAACTGAAAGGATAATGCAGGTGTTGGTAGTATTAACATCATAGTAAACACAAAACACAGGTAGTATTTCATGAATTTATGAGTTTGTGTTCTTAATGAGAAAAACATCATAAATCTGGATGTTTGATATATTTTTTTGAAAGTCACAGTTTCTCACATTCCCATGTTTTAGTCTCTCCAAATACATGTTTTTTTTAGAAGGAAGCCTATTATTCAGGGATCTTGCCATCACAAGTTATAGAAAGTGCAACTCAACTTAGCTTGGGCACAAAGAGGCTTCTGATGACTATGATATCCAAATGTAAGCTTCAGGCATGGTGGGATCCAGTGATTCAAATGAGATTAGGTGCATTGCTCCATCTTTTTGTTCTCCTATCCACTTTGTTGGTTTGTTCTCAAGCAAGCTCTTTCTGCTTGACAGCTCAAGTTTGTTTTCCCTTACAACTGGCTGTCTCAGTTATCAGAGACCTCTTTGCCACAAACTTTCCAATACAAGTCTAATAAATTGACCTGGATCATCTGTAGAGTCCCAGTTGATGCTGCGATCACTCTTACCCAAGTCATGTGCACCAAGAGCTGAAGAGGGGTGGATGGTTCTCAACTGTGAAAATGGGGTGCTGTGTAAGAAAAAGAGTGAATGGATAGTGGAGAGGCAAAAGCAATAGACATTCACGATAGAAGGACAAGCATAAAAGCTGATTGTAAGGAAAAATGTCTTAACTTGATTGAGGTCTTGAGTGGTCCTTCAAGTGGAAGTGTACTTTCAACCTTCTGGTAGAAGACAGTTGGGAAATTCAAAAGTGAGGATTACAATAGAATTTGTGCCAGGATAGTTTGTAAGGTGGAGCCAATGTGAGGGAAACCAATAAGAAATGAAGAACTCTATGGCTAACAATAGTGAGAGGCTACTACCATCTCTTGACCTGATATGGGGAGGGGAAGCAACAATTATCTGAAATTAGTGAGCTTTGAAGTGGTAGAAAAAGGCCACCCATTCCCAGCTATGGTCTTTGGGAGAGAAACACAGCTCTTTCTAAACCTTGTCATTGGTGTTCCCCAATGGCTGAGGCTGACTGGAAGCCAGAGGCCAGAATATCCTACTGTTGGACTCTGTTGAGATGAGTGGCCTCCCAGGGCACAGAACAAGATTTAAAAATGTAAAGAGCGGATATGGAGGGCACAAGGAGCTGGCCAGCATGCGCTTGAGCGCACACACACACACACACACACACAGACATCCCCACCCCTTTCAAGTACTGAGATGATCTCCTTTCTCTCATCTCACTGTGCTTAAAACCATTACTATTTGGTGAGTTGAAAACTGCTGTTGATACTTACCTGGAAAGGGAGATACCATGATCATGAAGGTGGTTTTCCCAGGGCTAGGCTTATCCATTGCACTCCAGATGTGCTGACCCCTGCGATTTCCCCAAATGTGGGAAACTCGACTGCATAATTTGTGGTAGTGGGGGACTGCATTCACACTCTCCCCTGAAAAAAGAAAAAGAAAAAGAAAACTGCTGTTGAATCATTTTAAGTATACTGACAGTGTCTCTAAAGGTTCCAGTTTTTTTCAATTATTCTCTATATTATGCTTTGTGCTTATCCCAAGTTGTTAGTAAAACCATTAGTAGGCATTCCCATGAAGCAGTAATAAAAGCATACAAAAAGCTCTTTCTGGTTTTGGAATGTTATTGTTATGATATAATTCCAGATGATCACTATAGATGTCTGTAATTATATTATTTAGCATATCTATAAGAGCAGCAATGACTTATCATGGAAAATTATTAGAAGCAAGAATGTCCTTTACTGCTTTCATCTTCAAACTTCTCAAAAAACTACCATAGATCAAGTCCAAGGGAACAAATTGAAACTGGAATATTTTGAATAGATATTGAATATCAAATACTAGTGTGGAGACAGATGAATGATTTTTAGCCAAATGATACGGTGGCAAATCCTTAAAATTATGCTTTTTTAGATTATCACAAATATCAGTGATTTTGTTTGGTATTTGTAAAGATCGTGTGATCCTATATATACTCAGCTATAATTTATCTTAAATTGGTGTCCTTTGTCCTTCTCTATACTGTTAAGCTTTCATTTTATACTGAATAACAGTAGTTCTGTGACAAGATTGTACTGATTATATTGAATTTCAGTTTTTTAGAAGTAATGTTTACATGAACTAAAATAATAAGAAACAACATCAACTTCCCTTTTAAAATCCTACTCAAGATTTTAAAGCTTCCTTGACACTACACAGGAAAAATACTTAATATTAGCATTATCATTATCTGTGGGAATGACTCCTGAGAAATGATGAGCTTTCCAATGACTGGAGAGAGTTCATTACTCTTGCAAAAAGAAGGAGAGTGAGCAGAGAACCGAGTCTACAGCTTGTGAGGAGAGCAGAGGTCTGGCCAGGAGCCAGGACTTTTCAGTTGGCATGAGCTTTTTCTTGGAGAGAATTCATTGGATACCTTTGATGGCACCCAATTATGAAAGATTTTGAAAACTAAACAGAATGGTTGAAATTTGATTTGGTGGGCTTTGGAGAACCTTCACATGCAAAATCAGAAGAGAAGAAAACTTAGAGGTGTTCTAACTCTACAGAGGAGAATTTTGGGACTTGGAGAATGGAAGGTGTGTTATCTGAAGTCACACTCAAAACTAAAGAGAGTAGGATAATGCTGGGAAGTTGTTATTTCTTTGCTTTAGTGATTGAAAGAGTCTAATATAGTAACTTCCATTCTCTCAATCAGCTCCAGTATCTTTTCTCTAGACTCTACAGTATCAAGTTCAGTGAATGCTTCCAGCTGGGCCTTTTTCCTTGTTTCCTTGGCCTCTGGGTCCTGTGAACCACTGTAGTGTCAGTCCTAAACTGCTTCCCATATGAGCACTTTCACCCATGGACAAGCCACACACATCAATGTTAAGTCTTCCTGTGATCATATTAGTCCCTAGAGGGCCCTCCCACACAATTCCTACCCTGAGTAATAAAATTCATCAAACCTCAAACATCTTTTTTGATCATTTGTTAAAAAAAATCTTACTTAGTTATCTATACATGGAGGACTTTTCAATGGTCCTCTTTAAAACTAGAGAAAAACAAGCTGCATTCTGACTCTGGCTGCATAGAAAAACAATATGAAGAAGGGACATGGCAGGATTGTGAAAGCTTTACCTTGGTATCTCCATTTTCAAATGATTTCTTGTCAGATAAAAAATGCAAAAACTCAGCACACCAAAACAAGAAACCCATTTGGGAGCTCTGAGAGGCAAGTTCAGTTCTCAGCTCTCCTCACTCCCATTTCAGATTCTTTCAAATGGGAACGTTTATGTAGCTGCACCTCCCCATGGTGTTATTGGAGGGAAGGACATTGGTAATTCATATTTATTATGTGCTTAGTCTGTTTCAGGCAATGTGCTTTAATAATCCTAGTCCTATGAGGTACGCCTGGAGAATCTGTGTAACATTTCTAAGATCATTCCTCTAATACTTGGCAAAGCTAGAGTTTGAGCTTCTCCTTCTAACACCAAAGCTCAGCACTTTCCACTAAGCTGAGCTAATAAAAGGGCCCAGGAAACATCTGCCCATATGAGTAAGGTTTCCCAGAGGCCACTCATAGCAGTATCATAGATCCAAAGCACAGTTTCAGAGCTAAGACATATCAAAATAGTTTAAATCCTCTATCTACAATTGTGAGAACAAGAGAATAGCAACACTTACTAAAATCTATTCTCTCATCAGTATTCATCCTAAATCTTCAACTGATCTCATTCCTTTCTGACACTAAAAGAAGAAAATCAAGAAGTGATTCTCTTTTCTATCTTCCCTTCCATTCTTGACAATGTCATTCAACTACACCTCCCTGCTTAAGCCTTTCCTTTAATTTTC